TGGAGCTACTTTAAAAGGTCTAACTAAAGCTTTAATGGAATCTAACATCCAGTAGGTACAAGTTTTAAACACATATAGCATAATTCACTTAGAGCCTACAAATAAAACACATAAAAGACCAGGTGAAGCTGTAATGCAAATACAGATATATTGAGAGAAAAACAAAAGCAAATATTCTTGAAAAAACCTGTAAAGTAAGTATTTAAGCTTCAAAAGGACAATAGTATGGTCACTAGTTATTTGTTTTTGGTTACTATTCACTTAATTATCTATTTTTTTGTATATATTTTAATGTTATTGTCACTTTGTTTCTTTCTATTCTACCATAACTTATATTTTATAGACAAAGTGGTTATTATAAATAAAGTTTATTAAAACTATAACAAAAATGACATCTAAAGAGCCTAATCTCTGAATATAAATAGAAAAAGTTTCTTTATAAACCACAAAAGAAAGCAAACAAAAGTGACCAAAAAGGAAATAGGGATCCCTAGATTGTAATTCAAAGAACCAAAGCAAAATTTGTCAAAAAGAATTGACAAAATAAGTAACAAAATCTCAAAGAAATATAACTTCAGGCTACTGACTCCTTCTTAGTGCTTTTTATTGGCTCAGTTTTAAATTTATTCAACAATTTGATTACATTACTAATCTTTTTTATACATTACAATATCTAATGTTTTTGGGCAATGGAGCTACTTTAAAGGGTCTAACTAAAGCTTTATTGGAATCTAACATCCAGTAGGTACAACTTTTAAACATATCTAGCATAATTCACTTAGAGCCTACAAATAAAGCACATAGAAGACCAGGTGAAGCTGTAATGCAAAAAGAGATATATTAAGAGAAAAATCGAAACAAATATTCTTGAAAAAAAAACCGGTAAAGTAGGTATTAAAGCTTCAAAAGGACAATAGTATAGTCACTAGTTATTTGTTTTTGCCTACTATTCACATAATTAGCTATTTTTTTGTATATATTTTATTGTTATTGTCACTTTGTTTCTTTCTATTCTACCATAACTTTCTATAGACAAAGTGGTTATTATAGATAAAGTTTATTAAAACTATAACAAATATGACATCTAAAGAGCCTAATCTCTGAATATAAATAGAAAAAGTTTCTTTATAAACCACAAAAGAAAGCAAACAAAAGTGACCAAAAAGGAAATAGGGATCCCTAGATTGTAAGTCAAAGAACCAAAGCAAAATTTATCAAAAAGAATTGACAAAATAGGTAACAAAATCTCAAAGAAATATAACTTCAGGCTACTGACTCCTTCTTAGTGCTTTTTATTGGCTCAGTTTTAAATTTATTCAACAATTTGGTTACATTACTAATCTTTTTTATACATTACCGTATCTAATGTTTTTAGGCAATGGAGCTACTTTAAAGGGTCTAACTAAAGCTTTAATGGAATCTAACATCCAGTAGGTACAACTTTTAAACCTATACAGCATAATTCACTTAGAGCCTACAAATAAAGCACATAGAAGACCAGGTGAAGCTGTAATGCAAATAGAGATATATTGAGAGAAAAACCAAAGCAAATATTCTTGAAAAAACCGGTAAAGTAGGTATTAAAGCTTTAAAAGGACAATAGTATAGTCACTAGTTATTTGTTTTTGCCTTCTTCTTCTTCTTCCAATGGCGCTACAGCCCAAATTGAGCCTTGGCCTCCTGTAACTTCTGCCTCCAACAAAGGCGATCCCGCGCCACTCGTCTCCAAGCCCTGACGTTCAGTAAGTTGTGCGCATCTGCTGTGACTTCGTTCTCCCATCTATTACGTGGTCTTCCCTTTGGTCTTCTGCCCTGCATTTTACCATCAAAGGCCTTTCTCGGCAATCTGTCGGCATCCATCCGTACCACATGACCAGCCCATCGAAGCCTTTGTACTCTAGCGAACTTTTCAATAGGTGCTTCTTTGAACAGTTGGTAGAGTTCATGGTTATATCTAGATCTCCACATCCCATTTTGAGTGATGGGTCCAAAGATCTCCCTTAGGATTTTTCTCTCGAAAACCACTAATCTTCGTTTAGTGCTTTCTGTCAAAACCCATGTCTCGCATCCATAGCATACTATCGGTCTGATGATAGTTTTATAGACCTTAAGTTTCGATTTTCGATGTACCGTCTTGGAGCGGAATATGTTAATCAGGGAAAAATAGGCTTTATTTCCCTTCATTATTCTCTTCTGAATTTCGGCCTCTTCTGGTCCCTCCGTATTCATTTCGACTCCCAGATAAGTAAAACTCTTCACTGTTTCAATGTCATCCTCTACTTTGATTTGATTTCTTGTTCGCTTTGTCCGCGTCTGTGTTAGTATTTTTGTCTTCTGTGTATTTATTTCAAGTCCAATCTCCTTGGACGTTTTTTTCAGCTGCGAATATGTTTCTGCTGCATCATCCACTCTGCGGGACATGAGGTTAATGTCATCCGCATATGCGGCGAGCTGGACAGATTTGTTTGTTAGGAGATTGGCTCTTCCGACATTCAGCTTTCTGATGACATATTCAAGGGCCAGATTGAACAGTGTTGGAGCTAGTCCATCACCTTGTTTCAGCCCTTGAACTATTTCGAAGCTGTCAGTTAATTCGTACTGTATGCGTACAGTTGCTATTGTGGAGTCCATCGTTACTTTTGCTAGTCGGATATATTTCGAGGGAATATTGAAGCTTTCCATGATGTTATATAACCGGCTTCTATTTATGGAGTCATAAGCCTGTTTGAAGTCGACAAATATATTGTGAACATCAATATCGTGTTCCCAAGCTTTATTAAGGATTTGCTTTACTGTAAAAAGCTGATCTATTGTCGACCTGCCTTGTCGAAAACCGGTCTGGTATTCGCCGATAATATTTTCACATAATGGTTGAAGTCGCCTATTCAGGATGGATGTAAAAATTTTGTAGGCCGAACATAGGAGGGTTATGCCGCGGTAATTTTCGCATTTAAAATTGTCCCCTTTTTTGTAGATTGGGCAGATAATCCCATTTTTCCAATCGCTAGGAATTTTTTCTTCCCTCCATACCTTAGATATGAGCGCGTGCACCTGCGTTGTTAGATGTTCGCCACCTAATTTATACAGTTCGGAAGGGACATCGTCAAATCCCGGCGCTTTGTTGTTTCTTTGCGCCTGTATTGCTTGTTTGACTTCTTTAAGAGTCGGGCTGCTTATTTCTTCGTCTCCTTCCTCGATGTGCCGCGTATCCGAAGATCGTGAGCTTCCTTGTGCTCCTAGCAGAACTTGGAAATGGCTTTTCCAAACTGATTTTATTTGCGTTGGTTCACTAATTATCTTATCTGTGTGGTTTCTGCACAGACTTGTTCGGGGTTTGTATCCTTCTCTTATTTGTCGAAGATATTTTTATGCCTCCCTTAGATCGTTGCTTTGGAGGTTTTGTTCCATTTTCTGTAACTTATTATTTTCCCATTTTCTTTTTTCTCCTCGACATATTTTATCCGCCCTGCGTCTTAGCTCCTCGAAAAATGTTCTTCTTTCTCTGGTTCGCCTTTCCATATATTTCTTGTGAGCTTCATTTCGTTCGTGTATGGCCCGTCTACACTCTTCGTTGAACCATTCTGCCCTCTTTGCTTCTTTACCTTTTTACCGATGGTCTTTGTTGCTGCATTTAATACTTTTGTCTTCATTTGTTTCCCATGTTCTTCAATGTCTAGGTTATCTGTGTTTGTAAGTGTCTGGGTTATTTCTGTCTCGTAGCTCAGTTTAACGTTTTGTTGGCTTAGTTTATCAATGTCCAACTGCTCTTTTATCTGTTCTTTCTTATCTCTGTTTCTTGAGATCTTGCATCTATATTTTGCTTGTACCAGCAAGTGATCAGATCCACAGCATGCTCCTCTTCGACTTTTTACATCTAGGATGTTGGTGGCAGCTCTTTTGTCTATTAAGACATGGTCAATTTGGTTAGTAACCGCTCCACCTGGCATGATCCACGTTGCTTTGTGGATAACTTATATTTTATAGACAAAGTGGTTATTATAAATAAAGTTTATTAAAACCATAACAAATATGACATCTAAAGAGCCTAATCTCTGAATATAAATAGAAAAAGTTTCTGTATAAACCACAAAAGAAAGCAAACAAAAGTGACCAAAAAGGAAATAGGGATCCCTAGATTGTAATTCAAAGAACCAAAGCAAAATTTGTCAAAAAGAATTGACAAAATAAGTAACAAAATCTCAAAGAAATATAACTTCAGGCTACTGACTCCTTCTTAGTGCTTTTTATTGGCTCAGTTTTAAATTTATTCAACAATTTGATTACGTTACTAATCTTTTTTATACATTACAATATCTAATGTTTTTGGGCAATGGAGCTACTTTAAAGGGTCTAACTAAAGCTTTATTGGTATCTAACATCCAGTAGGTACAACTTTTAAACATATCTAGCATAATTCACTTAGAGCCTACAAATAAAGCACATAGAAGACCAGGTGAAGCTGTAATGCAAAAAGAGATATATTAAGAGAAAAATCAAAGCAAATATTCTTGAAAAAAAACCGGTAAAGTAGGTATTAAAGCTTCAAAAGGACAATAGTATAGTCACTAGTTATTTGTTTTTGCCTACTATTCACATAATTAGCTATTTTTTTGTATATATTTTAATGTTATTGTCACTTTGTTTCTTTCTATTTTACCATAACTTATATTTTATAGACAAAGTGGTTATTATAAATAAAGTTTATTAAAACTATAACAAATATGACATCTAAAGAGCCTAATCTCTGAATATAAATAGAAAAAGTTTCTTTATAAACCACAAAAGAAAGCAAACAAAAGTGACCAAAAAGGAAATACGGTCCTTAGATTGAAATTCAAAGAATCAAAGCAAAATTTGTCAAAAAGAATTGACAAAATAGGTAACAAAATCTCAAAGAAATATAACTTCAGGCTACTGACTCCTTCTTAGTGCTTTTTATTGGTTCAGTTTTAAATTTATTCAACAATTTGATTACATTACTAATCTTTTTTATACATTACCATATCTAATGTTTTTAGGCAATGGAGCTACTCTACAGGGTCTAACTAAAGCTTTAATGGAATCTAACATCCAGTAGGTACAACTTTTAAACATATATAGCATAATTCACTTAGAGCCTACAAATAAAGCACATAGAAGACCAAGTTAAGCTGTAATGCAAATAGAGATATATTGAGAGAAAAATCAAAGCAAATATTCTTGAAAAAAACTGATAAAGTAAGTATTAAAGATTTAAAAGGACAATAGTATAGTCACTAGTTATTGGTTTTTGCCTACTATTTACATAATTATCTATTTTTTTGTATATATTTTAATGTTATTGTCACTTTGTTTCTTTCTATTCTACCATAACTTATATTTTATAGACAAAGTGGTTATTATAAAGAAAGTTTATTAAAACTATAACAAATATGACATCTAAAGAGCCTAATCTCTGAATATAAATAGAAAAAGTTTCTTTATAAACCACAAAAGAAAGCAAACAAAAGTGACCAAAAAGGAAATACGGTCCTTAGATTGAAATTCAAAGAATCAAAGCAAAATTTGTCAAAAAGAATTGACAAAATAAGTAACAAAATCTCAAAGAAATATAACTTCAGGCTACTGACTCCTTCTTAGTGCTTTTTATTGGCTCAGTTTTAAATTTATTCAACAATTTGGTTACATTACTAATCTTTTTTATACATTACCGTATCTAATGTTTTTAGGCAATGGAGCTACTCTACAGGGTCTAACTAAAGCTTTAATGGAATATAACATCCAGTAGGTAACTTTTAAACATATATAGCATAATTCACTTAGAGCCTACAAATAAAGCACATAGAAGACCAGGTTAAGCTGTAATGCAAATAGAGATATATTGAGAGAAAAATCAAAGCAAATACTCTTGAAAAAAAACTGGTAAAGTAAGTATTAAAGCTTTAAAAGGACAATAGTATAGTCACTAGTTATTTGTTTTTGCCTACTATTTACATAATTATCTATTTTTTTGTATATATTTTGATGTTATTGTCACTTTGTTTCTTTCTATTCTACCATAACTTATATTTTATAGACAATGTGGTTATTATAAAGAAAGTTTATTAAAACTATAACAAATATGACATCTAAAGAGCCTAATCTCTGAACAGAAATAGAAAATGTTTCTTAATAAACCACAAAAGAAAGCAAACAAAAGTGACCAAAAAGGAAATAAGGATCTCTAGATTTTATTCAAAGAACCAAAGCAAAATTTGTCAAAAAGAATTGACAAAATAGGTAACATAATCTCAAAGAAATATAACTTCAGGCTACTGACTCCTTCTTAGTGCTTTTTATTGGCTCAGTTTTAAATTTATTCAACAATTTGGTTACATTACTAATCTTTTTTATACATTACCATATCTAATGTTTTTAGGCAATGGAGCTACTTTAAAGGGTCTAACTAAAGCTTTAATGGAATCGAAAATCCAGGAAGTACAACTTTTAAACCTATATAGCAAAAGAATCAAAGCAACTATTCTTGAAATAATGGGTGAAGTAAGTATTAAAGCTACAAAAGGACAATAATATAGCCACTAGCTATTTGTTTTTGCCTATTATTTACATAATTTTTTACTTTTTTGTATATTTGAGTGTTATTGTGACTTTGTTTCTTTATATTCTACCATAACTTATATTTTATAGACAAAGTGGCTATTATACGGGTGTTTAAAAAAAAGGTAACCCTGTCTCTAGGGTAGGTAAAAAACTGAAAAATAATTGGGGTTTGCTTAGTAAAAACTTTTTGTAACGCCATTCGTTTTCAAGATACAGAGCGTTGAAGAAAAAATAATTTTACGCATTTTTTACGATTTTGTCGAAACTACTGGCAACATTATAATACAATTTTATATGAGTATGTTTTGGAAGATGATACATCCCACGAATTTGTTTTATATCTGATTCTCATAGAGGGCGCTAGTTACACGGATCGTACTAAGTATTAGTCAATATAACTTTTTTAAGAGTATAATTATTAATCAAAATTTCAAGTAAACTTAAATATCATTCAATTTTACACGAAAAAGTTCCTCTTGGTAAAACTCGATACTGTGTACCGTTTTAGGAATATTTTGATTCGAAAATTATGAAGTAATAATTGATGCTGGTATAAAATAGTTAGTAATTTAACAAAACTCACAAAAATAAAATTAAATTAATGACTAAGAACATAGAATAAAACTCAATTACAGCAAGTGTTCAAAATGCCCTCCGTTTTCGCGAATACACAAGTCTAGTCTTTTTTCTAAAAATTCCATTAACCTTCTAAACAGTAGGGGATCAGCTATGATATCATTAAATTGACGTTGAATTCTTTCTTCCAATTCTTAGCGCGAATTTACCTCTGTAGCGTAGACTTTTTCCTTAATATACGACCAAACTTCGTAGTCCAAAGGGTTAAAATCGCATGACCGAGAAGGGCAATGAATCGGAGCTTCTGCACCTCTACCAATCCATAGATTCGGAAAATGATAATTCAACCGATTACGACACCTTCTATCAAAGTGTGTTGGAGCTCCGTCGTGCATAAATAATAAAGATCTTCGTCCATTTAGCGTTAAATCTTATAATATCTTGAATAAGGAATTATTTAAAAAATCAAGATACATAGCACCATTTAAATTTCCAGGTAGAATATGATAACCTATTAATTTGTTACCTAAAGTTGCTGCCCAAACAGTAACTTTAAATGAGTGTTGGTAATGTGATACCCTTTTGACTCGTGGATTCTCATCACACCAGTAGTGTGCATTATGGGAGTTAAACATACCTTGTCGCGTAAAGGTGGCTTCGTCCGTAAATAGAATGCATTTTAAAAAAATTGGATTGTGGGCTGTCCTTTGTTGCAATGTTTCACAAAAATCTACTCTAATCGGTAGATCATCTGCCAAGAGCTCTTAGACTTGTCTGTAATGATAAGGATGTAATTGCTGTTCTTTCAGTATCCGCCAAGTACTTGAAGAAGAAGTATTTATTTGTCTTGCTATATTCCTTACGCTAACTGTTGGATCTTGATCAAGTAAATTTAAAATATTATTTTTTTTTATTAACTGTTCTTGTTGTTCTTGGTCTACCAGAATTTATTTTATTTGGTCTCACATTCCCAGTTTCTCGACAACGTCGTTTAACGGCTCTAAATGTTTTTTTAATTGGTAAGTTTCTTTTAGGAAACTTTTCTGAATAACTCACAGCTGCACTAGAAAATCCTAAACATTCGCCTAAGGTTAATAACATGTCAGTGTATTCAACATTTGAGTACATTTTGATTTGATTTTACAAATAACAAGGTTTCAAAACTCTAATTATTGTTTATTTATCGTCATAACAATCAATAAATGTCAGATTTCTATGGCACACTTGGAGAAAATAGAGATGTACCTATTAGAACTTTATCATTACTACCAGCATCAATTATTACTTCAGAATTTTCAAAATCAAATTCCGAAAACTGTACACAGTATCGAGTTTTACCAAGAGTACCTTTTTCGTGTAGAATTGAATGATGTTTAAGTTTACTTGAAATTTTGATTAATAATAATTATACTCTTAAAAAAGTTATATCGACTAATACTTATTACGATTCGTGTAACTAGTGCCCTCTATGAGAATCAGATATAAAAACAAATTCATGGGATGTATCATCTTCCAAAACATATTCGTATAAAATTTCATTACAATGTTGCCAGTAGTTTCGGCAAAATCGTAAGAAATTAGTAATTTTTTTTCTTCAACGCCCTGTATCTTGAAAACGGATGGTGTTACAAAAATTTTTTACTAAGCAACCCCCAATTATTTTTCAGTTTTTACCTACCCTAGAAATGGGGTTACTTTTTTTGAAAAACCCTGTATAGTGTCGGTGCATGATCTTCCAGATCTAAAACCTTGTTATACTGCTAGTGCCATAATTTCATTCACATTATTTGTTAATCACTTTGGTTATTAATTTTAGTGTTGTGTTTAATAAGGTAATTCCTGTGCAGTTCTCCTGGACCCCGGGTCCGATTTGCCCCCTTTGTTAAATTAGGTGTTAGGTTGTGTTAGGCTTCTTTCAGACGATCGATATTTTATCGTTGTCGTGCAGTGATCTTGTCGTGAGAAAAAGTTTGGATGAATTCGAACATTATATTTCTGCTGCAACCGTTCTGTGAACTGTTCTTGTTCCCAACTCTTCTTCTTCGCGTACCATATCAGAACTATCCGACGTTGGCGATCACTATTGCGAAGGCTTCTCGATCTTCTGCAATATGGAATAATTGTCCTGCATTTGGTATCTGAGTCCATTCACGAATGTTTTTTAACCAAGAAACTTGTTTTCTTCCTACACCTCTACGGCACTCTATTTTGCCTTTAAGGATCAGTTGTAAAATTTTATATCGACTTCCCCTTAAATATGTCCAAGATAAGACATTTTTCGATGTTTAACAGTCTTTAGCAGTTCTCTGTCTTTGTTGACGCTCATTAGTACTTCTTCATTAGTTTTTCTTGGTGTCCAAGGTATTTGGTACAGACCAAACATAACATTTAACCATTCTTTGCCTTAGTTCTAAACTGAGATGGTTATTGCAAAGAAATAACTTCATTTTCATAAAAGTAGTTTTAGTCATTGCTATTCTACGTTTTATTTCTGTCTGGATCTAGTTGGTCCGTTATCACAGTTCCCAAATATGTCATTTTGTAAACTTTCGCAACTTGGACTCATTTCAATTGAAGTTTTGCAACGGGATGTGGGTCACGACTAAACACTAAAAATTTGGTTTTGTTTGAGTTTATTTTAATGCCCATTTCCTCTCCTACCTCGTGAATACGATCAAGCAGAATTTGAAGACCTTCAATATTATCTGATAGAATTACTGTATCGTCTGCATATCTAATCACATTAAGTAGTTCCCCGTTGATGTTTATTCCATATGGTTGTTTCCCAAGTACCTTTTTAAATATTCGAACTTTATTCCATATTCCTAATTTTTATTCCATATGGTTGTCTCTCAAGTGCTTTTTTAAATAGCTGGTCCGAGTTAACATTGTTATGTTGGCGACAAAATGCAACCTTGTCTGACTCCTCTTTGTATGGG